TATAGGAGAGAGTTATACCTCAACTAGTTGAAATTGTTAATGAAGAACATGGGCACCAAGATGAACTTCAGGTTCCTCCACTAACAGCGGTTGAGTCGATTACTGAGCCACAAGTTAGGAGATCGCAAAGAGAAAGAAGGTCTACATTGCCCCGTGATTATATTACATATTTGTTGGAGAGTGATTTTAATGTAGAGCATATTGTTGACCCTGTTACTTTTAATCAAGCATAGACAAATCTTCAGTCACATAAATGGATAAAAGCAATGGAAGATGAAATGAATTCTATAGAATAGAATAATATTTGGGAACTTCTTGAACTTCCTCTGGATGCTAAAGCTATAGACAACAAGTGGATCTTCAAAAGCAAATTGGACTCAAAAGGGAATGTTGAACGAAATAATGCGACATTGGTTGCAAAAGGGTTTACTCAAGGAGAGGGCATTGATTACAATGAAGCATTTTCACCTGTTTTTTTCCAAAGACTCTTTTCGAATTATCATGACACATGTGGTATATTATAATTTGGAGCTCATTAGATGGATGTTAAAACGACTTTTCTGAATGGAGATTTTTAAAAGGGTTTACATGAGACAACCTGGAGGTTTGTTGTAAAGGGAAAAGAAAACTTGGTATGTAAGTTGAATAAATCATTATATGGCCTCAAGCAGGCACCACGACAGTTGTATTTGAGATTTGACGAGGTTGTGACTTGTTTGGATTTTGTTGAAAATACAGTTGATCAATGTATTTATATTAAAACCAGTGGGAGGAATTTTATTTATCTTGTCATGTATGTTGATGACATTTTACTTTCTAGCAGTGACTTTGGGTTACTTCATGAGACAACTAAGATGTTATCTGCTAATTTTGAAATGAAAGATCTTGCCTTATGTGCTTGATATTGAAATACATCGTGATAGAAATCGTTGCATGTTGGAACTTTCTCAGAAAGCTTATATACGACGTGTTCTAGAAAGTTTCAATATGTAGAAATGTGCACCAGATGATGTACCATCATAAATGGGGATAAGTTTAACAAAACTCAGTGTCCAAGGAATGAGCTAGAAAGAGAATATATGAAGATGATTCCATATGCTATGCTATGCTATGGGGAGTTTGATGTATGCTCAAGTTTGCACTAGATCGAATATAGCTTATGTAGTAAGTGTTCTCAATAGGTTTCGGCCGAATCCAGGGCAAGAGTATTGGAAAGAGGATAAGAAAGTTATGAAATACTTGAATAAAATTGAAAGTTACATGCTCACTTTCCAGCATTCAAATCACCTTGAGGTGGTAGGCTACTCAGATTCTGATTTTGTTAGATGTAAAGATGATTTGAAATCAACCTCGGGATATATTTTCATGTTGGTGGGTGGTGCTATCTCGTGCAAAAGTGTTAAACAGACTTTGGTGGCATCTTCTACTATGTAAGCTGAATTTGTGGCATGTTATGGAGCTACAATTCAAGCCGTTTGATTAAAGAATTTTATTTCTTGGCAGAAAGTTGTTGATTTCATCTCAAAGCGAATCACCATTTATAGTGATAACAGC